CAGATTTGCAGAAGAAACACATATTCCTGTTCCCCACGGTCTGAAAAGCGCAAAAAACGCATTCAATTTTCAAGCACAAGCTTTCCCTGAGGAGTTAGACCAAAGTGTATCTCAGAATTGGCAGTAGGGGTCCAAGCAGCAGAAATGGAACATCCAGGCAAGGCCTTCAACCGCCTGAGACCCCCTGCTCGGCCCAACCTGCTTGGACAGTGCAGACAGGCCTCCAAGACACCTTCCCTCCACAGGGGGACCAGTAATTCCAGATTCGTGCCTCCACCGGCCCCAAAAACGCTGTGGTACCCTGGCGAGGGGGGGGAAGGGGGGAAAAGAACCCCCCCCCAGCTGCAGGCAGGTGGAGCCTGATCTCGGTGCGCAGCCTTCCTCGTCTCCCTCAGCTCGGTCTCTCCTCCACCAAGCCGCATCTGGGACGGGGTGCTCCGCTGCTGACCAGCCCTCCACGCACACCGCTGACAACTCCTTCACCTTTGGCGGGTGCCAGCTGACTCCAGGGAGGCTGTCGCCGAGCAGTCTCCGGCCATCGCTAGACTCCGATGGAATTGGAGTCCATGGGGGGGGGCTCTACCTCACCGTGCCCCACCGCCGCCATGCCACAGTGCCGCCCAGCTGACTTGGGCAAAGACCGCAGCGAGGAAACCACCATCTGGGTCCGATGGAACTTGGGTCCATGGGGGGGCTCTACCCCGCCGCGCCCCACCGCCGCCACACTGCAGCTGACTCGGGCGAAGACCCCATGGGTCGCCTCGTGGGGAGGCAACTCCAGCTCGTCTGGCATCCCCTGGGGACCTAGGTAGGTAAAAAGTGGACCTGCCGAGCTCCAAATGTTCCCCTTACCAGTCCATAACATAAAACATAAAAAGAGCATCTGAGAAGACTCGAAGATTCAAACAAGCAACAACGTGGACTCGCCCATGCCATCAGGGCCCTGGGTTCTATGGCAAGCCCGGTTTTCAGTGACTTATAAAAGACTGGCAGAGTTGGGGCAAATCTAATTTCTAGGGAAATTATGTTCCAGCTTTCAACAGATGAGACCCTCTTGCAGATGGGACCCACTTCTACTTGATCAAACAGAACAGAACCACTGGGGAGAGACAGTCCAGTAAGTAATCCATCCCCAAGCCACAAAGGGCTTTAAAGGTATCTGCCAGCATCTTGAATTGCACCTGGAAGCAGATTGGGAGCCAGGGCAGCTCGTGGAGCAGAGGTTTTTCTATGAGCACAGCAACACATCCTCATCACTGCCACATTTTGCACCAGTTGAAATCTCTGAATACTCTTCAAGGACACCTCTTGTAAAGCACTCTGCAACAGTGCAATCAGGAGGTGGAATGATTCCTTTTTATTCCATTCTAATGGAATATTTCCTTGAAAGGAGGCTTTTGAAAACTCTAGAGGCATCAGCTAATGGTCTCACCCTGCCTGCCTTCCTAGCCATCACTGCAAAGCTAGGAGAAGCAACCCCACTTCTCTAGAAAGCTCTGGGCAAGGGCTGGATGAATTTGAGCTCTAGGCCAGGCCTTTACTGTCAGCCGAGAAAGGTTTAGGAATCAGCCATTTAATGAGCACAAACAAAATTAACTGGCAGTTTAGGCCTAATGAGATTGCTGGGCAAATTAACAATCCGTTTAAGCAAAAACAAACAGCCCCCTTCTATGAATGGCTCCAGCACATTGAGCTGACTTAAGCTTTTGCTGAAATGATGAATAACAGATCAGAGGAGACCATCTGTGCCTTTTCCTCCCTGGAGAGAGGCTGCAAGGAAGAAGACTTAACATGAATGGAGGAAAATAGAAAGCAAAGAAAGCAGCAAAGCTTTAATTTTATTTGTAGTGGCTCTGTCATGCCTATCATCTTCCTATTCTTCTTCCATTTGCATCTGAGCTTTGCCTTTGGGAAGAGTTCACAAGAGAGTTTGCTCACCATTTGTTTGCCGTTCAGGCTGAGCCACAAGGCCAACAGTTGACCGGCTGGTTTTGTAGACCAGGCAAAAGCTCCTTCAGCTGCCACCAACCAAACTGTTTGCTTACAACATCTCCCAGACTCCCTAAGGACTCCCTTTTCCCATGCATGGGAGCTAGAGAAGAAGGGTTTTTATATCCAATACATTATTAGGGAGTGCAACCCTGGAATCCACCATCCAAATGAAATTGAAAATGAAATGCACAGAGATGGAGCTTGTCAGACCTGCCATCCTGCTGCACCAGCCCTGCTTAGCCAGATGCCAGGCTGTCATGAGTAACGGGGGTGGGGGAGGAGCTGCTGGGTGGGACAAAGGGGGGAAAAGAAACTGAAAGATTTATATTATCCTGTGAGAGCAGTGGACTGTTCCAAGGTAACCCAATGGGATCCAACACCTCTAAGCCATGCAGCTGGGGACTGTTACCAAAATAATTACTTTGTACTACAAGTATTTTGAATGGCATTAGACACTCACTGATAATTATGGCGGGATGGGACCCAAGGGGGAAAGTTAACTGCTTGATTTGCATGCGAAATGCCAGATTTGGCTTTGCTACTCTGTAATCACTTGGTTTTAGTAAATTATACTTTCTTTAGCTATGAGCCTAGAAGTCATTCTTTTTCTATTGCCTGGCTAGGTGGCTCAGTGGCTAAGACACTGAGCTTGTCGATCAGAAAGGTTGGCAATTCAGCAGTTCTAATCCCTAGTATAGGTCTCCGCGTGAGCAGGGGATTGGACTAGATGACCTCCAAGGTCCCTTCCAACTCTGTTACTGTTATAAATTTAAAAGGACCAAGTTGAGACAGCTGACATCAAGCCAAATTTGCACATAGCAGTATACCTGGGACCACCAACCATTGAGGAACTGTGAAACAATGTCTTTCCCTGGGAAAGGCACAGAGAAGGGGAACACCTGGAGTAAGGTGGATGCTGTGACGGGGGGGGGGAATCTGTCATGCCCCTGTCAGAGTCTGAATCTGAGATGGAAGACCAATAGCTGACAGAGAGCGGGAGAGAGTGGCTTTGTTGGCTGTGGAGGAAATTGGGAAGGGCAGAGCAGGGGAGAGGTAGAACAAGGGAGAGGGGGTTCAGATGAAGACCAAGACCCACAACTGTCTCATCCTAGGGTGAGCAGGGAAGAACACAGAAGAGAGCAACGTGGGTTGCATAGCTTACAAGGAAGGAAAGGGACCTGATTTCCTTTGCAAGGCACACCTGGGAATGGAGTTTAAAGGAGAGGCAGTTGGGAGGGGCATTTGTCAGGAACAAATGCTGAATTCATCTAGTGTTGAGAGTGAGGCCTGCATTCCTGGCATTCCTCCTGACTGAATTATAGTCGTGCTTCTGTGTTCTTCTTGGCTTGCTGGAATTATTGCTGTCAATTCTTCGCTTTTGGGACTCATTATCTTGCCCTGCTTGAGTGATTGATTTGCAGTCATTCTGCTTACAGCATTTGGACTGGAGTATCTGTGGACAGAAGCTGCTGCAGGTTTGTGGAAGAGTTTTTCTCCAGGCCAGAGAATGAACGGGACATTGGGGGCAAAGTTGGTGCCAGTAAAGGGACTCATACCGGTTCTCTGGCTGTGTTGCCTTCGTGCCGTGCCCCGGGTTATCACAGGCTCAGGATGGGAACCTGAGGAGCCCAAACAGATTCCAAAGCCCAAGCCAAACCCCCCACTCCCGAGGAATGGAAGAGTCCTAGCCAGACCGAGAGCCCAATGATGCATAAAACTCTACGCCTCAGTCACACTCTCTGTTATATATAGGTGTTAGGTTTTGTATCATACCAGCTTATGCAAAATGGGCTGAATCATCCATTTATCTCAACAAGATAAAAAGAGCAACAAGTCTTCAGGGCACCAAGGGCTGCCTCAATGGGGCCACCAGAGATGCCCCATAGAATATGAAGCTTATGTATTTCACAGATGGTCGGAACAGAGCAAGCTTGGAAAATGGCAGAATTAAGTTCCAGTCCTATCCAAGCAATAGGTGTCAGTGACTCCGACATTGACGTTTTCTGTCTAGTTGAGAATAAATCTCAGTGAAACCAGAGGCATTTCAAAGATCATCCAACATCTCCAATGGCTTAAATATTCAGTCTCCCTGAAGGAGAATCCATTCATTTCCAAAGCCAAAGCTGACTTCATATGCCATCAGAAAACCCTCCTTCACTATTAGCCAGAATTCCTTTTTTTGTAATTTGGACCAAATGGCTGGCGTCTTATTGCCCAGAGTGTAAAAATAATTTGCCACTTCATCTGTACAAATTTGCTTAGAAAAGGTGTAGCAGGAAAGAAAAATATCCTGCTAAGACTGCCTAAATTCTAAATTCCATTCCCATGTGCACAATGCGCCTCCTGGCCATGAGCCATCATCTGAGCTATCCAAATGCCCTCTGGCAGCAGGAATCCTGTCCTCACACAGCACAATGCCTGCCCCCAAAGAAGTGGGGCTGGGTAGTCTCCTTTCCCCTTCCAATAAAGATAACAAGTACAATTACAACTATGACCACAATTGAGCCCATAATTTTGGTTGCTAAGCAAGAGCATTGTTAAGTGAGTTTCACCACATTTTACTCAATCCATGACATCTCCTGGCTCTAACAGTGAGTGACATCAAGTTGGTCACGCCCACCCAGTCACATGACCACCAAGCCACGCCCACAGAACTGGTAGGGAACATTTTTGGATTTCAACACTGCTTCACACCTCAAGATATTGGAAACCTGCTCATTTGCAAAGTTTAATTAACATAAATATGTAGACCAGGACAAAGCAGAATCATGATTTGTAACAATTCTCCCCTCCATTGGGGGGGGGGGTAACTAACCCGTGACTACATACATGAATGCTCTGGTTTATCTTGGTTCACATGCAGAAATGCACATGGCATCTTCACGACCCAACCCAGCCACATACAATCTAGTTTAAGCCCCTTCGGTCTGCTGGTTCTTTTCAGTGGAAGGAAAAGCACGCCCAACCCAAGGATTTGGCATCCCAGACAAAGAACCTTCCACTCCATCTTCCTTTGTGTATCAGCATGGCCTTTAATAGAAACAGGTAGTTTTTTCACCATTAAGCTATAGTTACCTTTTTAAAAACCAGATCAAAATCAACAATTAAAAAATAATCCATAAAATGTGGTATAAAAATTCTTTTTCATATGCATTACATATGCATTACAAGGCAAGATCTTCTGCTACACAAATACGTAATTTCCTGTGTTTAATTTTATTTACTCCTTTAGTACAAAAATGCCAGAAACGGGTCTCCCTCCCTGCTTCCTTCCCCACATACACCTTTTGCTCATGCCAACAGGCTGAAATACGGATTGCCAAAAGCCACAGAAATCCCACTCTCCATCTTCATTAGTAAACTTAAAAAACAACCTGCATTTAAACATTATTATCTATTACTTTACTTTCATTGGAGTAAAAAAAAAATCCAACCACAAGTCGCTATTCTTGTTTTCTTGGCTCCCTGAGCATATTAGTTAACTGTTGCGTCCTCTCAGTGTTTGGGTATGAAGGCTGGGATGGGCAAGGCATCCTGTTGCCCCGACTGACAAGTGCTTTGAAAACAGCGACTTCTCCACTGCCATCAGAATCAGGAGAGAAGGGTCCAGCCGGAGGCTCAAACCCGGCCCAGAGAAGACTCAACGCCAGAAGAACCAGTTCACACATCCAAGAGAGAAAACCTTTGCTTAGGCTGGTGACAAGGCTGGTAAGAATATCTCCAAGCACATTTTCAATGGGAGGGGAGGGCAGGGTTGGGAGGAAATGATGGTGGCTACCACCGGAATGGAAGCAAAACTGAAGCAGTTCACAGCGAGAGCAGACCAAGGAAGCAGCAGCGGCGGCAGCAGCAGTAAAAAACAAAGAGGGCAACAACATGCTGCTGGCTAACAGACCAAGGAAGCCTCAGCGTGAAGCTCCTCTGTTATCTACAGTTCCTACAAGTCTGATGGGGAAAGGAGACCCCTGGGCCCCTCCTGAATGCAAATCCAGGGTGTTAGCTGCCTTCTGATCACAGGTGTGAGGCCTAAGAACCAAGAGAAAAACACAAACCAGCATGGACCAAGGCGTTGCCCTGATCAGCTGGACTGAGCTTCAAAGTTCCTTCCAGAGTTATTCCAAGGTCGTCACAGAAGATCCACCCAGGTCATAAAGCCCTCCAGGGGGCATCGAAGGACCCTTCAGCTGCTCTCCTTTTGTGTTCTTCTGCCAGAGTCATTAGCCAAGTCATAGCTACTCAGTAGATTACTTCGTAAACTGTGGCCTTCTTGTCACCCGAACCTGTGACAATGTATTTGTCATCTGCTGAAATATCACAGCTTAAAACGGAAGAAGATTCTTTTGACTTGATGGAGAAAATAAAAAGAAGAAACAATCCTTTTAGTTTTCACAGGATCAGACAGTAATATCGGCAAGTGTCTTGCTGGTGCTTGCATGCACATGCCTCTGCAACTGTGTGTAGGCAGCAAGAAAATGGAGAACAAACACGCAGGTGGCTCTCTTTGCACAGAACATGGGGCAAGTTGCAGACTGCTCAAGACTCAGAGGAGCCACACCTGCTCCCCCCATCAATCTTCCCCTTCCCCCAACCCAGGGGAAGGCTCTCACCTGGAAGATGCTGGCTCCATACGGGGTCCTCCAGGCATTGAGAAGATTGTCTTTACCAGTGCTCACAAACCACTTTCCTACAGACAGAAACTGGGCATTAGCTTTCCCAACAAGAAAACAAGGCTGGAATGCGGATAGCACCATTAATCCAAGGAATTTCTTAAATTCCTGCCAGGAAGTCATTGCTACAGGTGACCTGGCCTCTTCCCAACTCCTATTCGCACCTTTTCTCAAAATGGGCAGGACATGTACTGGGCACCTGCCTCCCCTTATTGCTGCAGGGGTAAAAAGCCAGCTGCTGATGCTTAGTTACAGCTTCAGGAAATGCCTGGTTCTTCCCAGCTCTCAAGTAGCCTTTTCCTACCTCCGGGACCACCAACTTGCAAGGTTCAATCCCTGACACTGAATTGCACCCTCGCCCCAAGAGACACTCACCACAATAGGCAAACTTCAGGGAGAGGACACAGCTTTCGTGCAGGTGAAGCTGATATTTGTCAGGTTTGGTGTGATGCAGCACTTCCACATTGCTGCTCTCCAATCCCACTGCAAGCCACTCGCCTGTTGGGCAGTAGCCGAGCGAGAAGATCTACAAAGAAGACAGGGAGCAGCTGTTCGGAGCTGTGTCTCAGCTCAATCCAACACCTAAGGTTAAAATGAACTGCTCCCAAAGCAAGGAGGAGAAAGAGGAGGGGAGGCTGGTTCTGCGGCCAGGCCGCCTGTCCTGCAAAAGGAAATGTCCCCAGGACACCCCTCTTTTTCAGAATCAGGTTATTTCTTATTTCAGACTGGCTTTGCCTTGCAAACTAAAGCCCCTTGTTGGGTTTCATGAATTTTAAATCCAAGTCAAGCTGGGATTCCAGGAGCAAGTTTGGTAGCTGTGATGGGCCACAAATAACCCCCTGCCTCCACCAGGCTCCTTTTGGTCCTAGAATCCACTTCCATTAACCCAGTGCTTCTTGGATGGTCCTTTTAGTTCTTCCTCCCTGCCAGGCTCAGAGAGGTTGGGCCTCTGGGGTCAAGGCAAAACTCACCTGGGAGGTGAAGTCATGTTGCTGTAGCTGCCTGCCTTCCCGAAGGTCCCAGGAGCGCACAGTGTTGTCCAAGCCCCCCGTCCAGAGTTTAGTGCCGTCATGGGAGATGTCAATGCAGCTGGCGCCATCCGTGTGACCCTGGAACTGCCTGAGAAGGGAACCGAGACAAGGAAAGAGGGTTTCTGAATCTGCTCTTATTTCTTGTTAGTTATCTTATGAAATTTACAGAGTCACTCAATTCATTCTGGCCAGTTTACAATAAAAACTCAATAACCACCCTGACATAAGATGGTGGGCAATAAAACTAATAAAACAAGTAATGAAGCCTAATCATAATCAAAATTCCCACAGAAAGGGCATCTCAGCGCCTGGGGAAGGGACGGGCTTTCACTTCAAGGACCACAAAGTCAGGCAACACAAACTCCTTGGGGGATATTGCTCCAGAGAGGAAGTGACACCACTGAGATGGTACACTTCCTAGGACTCATTAGATGACCCTGTTTTAAGGACGGGACCCTGGGCAGACACAAAGGAAGAAAGGCAGTCCTGGGATAACCAAACCCCATGGCTTTAATTGTACCCGGATGCTCACTGGTAACTAGCCCAACTCTGATATTGTGACTGCTTGTAAACACCCATATGGCTGCATTCTGGATCACTTCCAGCTTCTGAGTGGTCTTGAGGAGCAGCCCCAGGAGAGCACAATGCAACACTCCATACCCGAGTGGCTACGAGAAAGGAACCCTGGTCCAGATGAGGACACAATTGGCAGACCAGATGAACCTGGGCAAAGGTTTTCTTCCTCCTCAAGCAGAATCTGGAAATTCACGAGCCCAAATTTCTTCCCTTGCAAGGATGAGAAGCATTTGGCCGACATCCTGAAGGAATTCTCAGGTATCAGCCTGGAAGACTGGAGAGCCAAGCAATGTAAATAATGCGTCCTGGAGATGAGAGCTTGGTGCTCTCGGTCAGGATGAATGCTGACAAACAAAGAAGAGCTTTGAATAAGCGGCTCTTCTTGTCCTTATTTGGCTTCTGTTCTTTTATTTCCCAGTGGACATAATTTTGTTATGCCAGACAGTGAGAAGCCTTCTTCTCCAATCACACTTGGCCAATAAAAAATTCTACTCTACTCTACTCTACTCTACTCTACTCTACTCTACTCTACTCTACTCTACTCTACTCTATAGAAAAGGACGTGGAAGCAACCTGCAAACCCCTCATGCCAGCAATCACTCAGATTTGGGGAAGCTCACCTAACCAATGTCTGGTTGTGGAGATCCCAGACGGCAATGTTTCCATCACTGCAGCAGGAGAAGCACACTTTGGCATCTGGGCTGATGGCCAAGGCATAGCAGGCAGGGGCAGAGGAGGTCAGTTCTGCCTTGATTCTGGGGGTAGGGGAAGCCAGATCCCAAATGGTGAGGGTGCTGGCCTCTCCCCCCACAATAAGTGTGCGCCCATCTGGAAGGAGTTTGCAGGAACGGATGTAGTTATCCCTGTTCTGGAGAGAGAAAGCGAGGACAGGACCCCTTACAAAGGCCTAAAGATCCACCTGTTTCAATTATATTGGGATAACACTTTGTGGAAAAAGGAAGAGAAGTATTAAATATCTGCAAGGCTAAGGGTGCCAAATTTAGCTTGGTTATTTTTTTTAAAAAACAACTATCTCTTTCCCCCAAAAGAGCAATGACATTGGCTTGCCCTAATTAGTGAGCTCATCTCCAGTTACATCTTTTCTGACCTTCAGAATCTTATGTTCTCCCCACAAAAGGCCACCCTACCCATCCTGCTGCTGTAGGAACAGTGAGTGAAAGGCTTTTTTCCTTATGGCCTCCCAGCCACACTCATCTTTGGGCTGTCAGCAACCACTACCACAAAACTGATAAGAAACCAATCAACACTATTTATGGAGTAGTTGCCAAAACTTGGAATCATCACATCAAGGCTCACCCCACAGCCTGGTCCAGGGCTCAAAGGAATCACTGTGTATTTAGCACCTTCAGGAAGGCCAGCAAAGTCAGGACATCCAAACCTTGTGAGGTGGGGTATTCCATCCTTCCTTTCCCATAAGATGTCACAGTTAAAAGAAGGGAGCAAAGGACATCTCCTCTGCTGGATCTCATGGGACAAGCAGAAGTAATTGGAGGTGGGTAGCCTCACAAATAGCCTGGTTGACAGTTCAGTAGGTGCACCCTGACTTCATTCCACAGACCTTGATGCAAGTTCTAATCAAGGTTCAGACAACTGCCAGCCCTGCCACTTACCAAGCAATCTAGCTGGGAGATGGGGTTCTTGGTGCCCGGCTGGCTGATATCCCAAATCTTCACACAGCCCTTTCCCCCTGTGTACACATGCCTGGTTGGGTTGCTGATAGTCACGGCACACACCACTTCACCATGGCTCAGGGTATTGATCTGACGGGCGTGGCGGGGGATGCCAGGGCCAGCAAGGGCATCATGAGGAAACGGAACTGGCTGCATCTGCCCATCTGTGCTGATGTGAAATGAGTAAGCCCTAGGGAGAGGACCCGGGGGGGGGGGGGCATGGGAGAGACAAGGGTAGCTCTTGTTATTCAGAGCCGAGTCCTGCTCAGCCAAAGCTTTTTCAACAACCGAATTAACCTTGACCCACAAACCGAGGGTTGCCTTATGCTCCATCCTCAAGACTCTGCTGGTTCGTGTTGAAAGACCCACAGATCATTCTCACCTACAAGCTTTCTTTGTGGCACTTGCCACATTTTGGAAGCCAAGGAACCCCCCACCCCACCCATGCATCCTTATTAAGTAGCTGTCTTTCTACAGAACAGGATTCAAGACTAAAAAAGTTTGAAGTTTGAACTTGGGGACAAAGGCTTAGAGCAACTTACGGTTTGCCACCAGGAATGGAGGGCAGGACAGGAGTCCTCATTGGTGGATGGGGGTCAAATCCAACCTAGAAATTAGATTTTTGAAAGACACTCAATAAAAGGAAAGAAGTCCTGATCTCACCTCCAGGAAAGGATTTAGAGACAGCCCCAATTTCTGATCCTAGGGAGACAAATGTCTTCCCTTCAACCCCTGGCATTTCAGCACAAGTGATCAGAGGCCACAGAGGCAGAAGGACAGAGAAGAACTATCCCAACTAAGAGATCTGCAGTGCAAGTCCTCCAACTCAAAGGCTCCTAAAATGCCACTTGAAAAATACATGGTACGGATGCCAATTCCCCGCTAGGTTACCTGCATGATGTTGTTTTAATTGCAGAACATCTGGACATCCACAAAGAAAGCCTTCAGCCAGATCCCTTGATCCTAAAACTAGGTTTCTCCTCACGTGAGAGGCTGGCAGTAGCTCAGACTCAGTGACCTAAGATACCCTGACTGGGGCCTAGTGAGCCCCTCCTCCTTGAGCGGCTCTGGCTCTGGAGGTAAGCCACAGCCACCAGTCCCTTCTGGAGCCCTCAGCCCACTTCTCAGGGTAAACAGAGCCTGTAGAAATTCATAAACTGTGCGCCTGTTTTGTAAGTGGGGGGGGGAACTATTATTCCTGAAATGCATTATCGATATTCCACTGGGGGAACAATTCAGGCATGATTTTTTTCTTTTTATGCACATTTCTTTTTTGGTCCTATCTAGTTTTGCTTTGTTTTGTGTTTTCTTCCCCTCCCCCCGGTTTTGAAATTTGTGTTTTTAACAAAAATTTAAAAAATAAAAAAATATTGGGGGAAAAAAAGAAATGAGCATGCTCCTTTCCTGCAGGGGTGCTCCCCCCCGCCCCCTATAGATAGGAGCTTAAAGGTCTACGTACAGCTCCAAAGCTCACCATGGGTGACCGCCCGTAGGCTACGGCGGCAGCTGTCATTTGAGGGGGGATGTTGTGCAATCCTGCATAGGCCCCAGGGGTGGCAAGGGAGCCATTCATCTCGTGATGCCCCATCATGGCAAAGGGGGCCGGATAAGAGCTAGCGAGGGAGATGGGAGTCCTTAAGGCAGATGCTAGAAAGAGTCAAACAATAAGCAAACAATCAAAAACAAAACGCAAGATTGCGCAATCAAACTGAGCAAAAGAAACAAGGCTGGTATGGTGGTTTGTCCAAAGCCCTAGGGGAAGGTCCCTGAGGAGAAGACCAGAAACTGCAGGTCTAAATTGCAGGGAAGCCAATTTTGGCAGGGGTGCAAGAAAAAATTCTGAGCAGCAAGAGCTGTTGAGTCCCAGACCAGCTGAGACAGGAGTTGATGGAGCACTGGAGGCTTTTAAAGAGAGACTGGGAGGGGCTGTGATAGCTGGTTCTTGTACTGGGCCTGGATGATCCCTTCTTGTCCAGCATTTTGTGAGTTTATGAAATGCCCTCAAAATCCAAACCCCTCCCTCCGTCTTTTGGTACAAGCAGCCCTCCCCCCAACGTGGATCAAGGAGAAACACAACCTACCCAAGGGATCCATTCCAGGGGACTTCCGTGGCGCTGGTCGGAGGCCCGGAGTGCTGCTTGTCCCAGGCATTGGTATATCACTCCTTGGCGTGGGAGTGTTGGACTTTAAACCAGGCATAGAAGATTTATCATTCTGAGTCAAAACAAGATTGGAAGGAAAGTTTGACTATTCCTGCTGCCTTTAAACATTTTTTGTTTTTAAGTAGGGACAAAATACATGGTTGCCTTTCAATCTCAAAATCAATTCTAAAATTCGTTTTCTTTAAACAGGATGCAAACCTTGTAAACATCTTACATTTTGCTAAAGATTTTTCATTATACCATCCTGAGTCAAAAGGAATCAGAACTAAGATTTCTCTGCATCCTCTGAACCATAAATGAAGATTGGAGATGGGATTAATTCCCCAAAATTACTTCAAAGTAGTTGGAGTTTCCCATTCGAGTGCCTAATGAAGATACTTTATAGTATGTTCATTAGTCACTAGATGTAGAGAAAGCAAGCTTCATTTTGACAGTTGGTTCATTGCAGCTTTTTCACATGCCTAGCTCTCCTTGGAGGGGAGACGGGCAGCGTAAACTTTTAATAAATTTCAATAAATAAATAATCACAAAATTGAGCCGATCAGAGTTAGCCCAAAACAGAGTTAACCCTTTCCCTTGGAATTTCTGGGGCTGCCCCTTTGTGTCTAATAAGTGGGAAAACAACTGGAGCAGCAGGATGCGACTGGCTTGGCATGAGGTAAGCTTCAGCAGCCTTAGGTTTGTTGGGCAAGAACATCCCACCTCCCTGTCATGGGACCCTTGTAGGTCATGCCCAAGGGACCACTCAATGCAGAGGACCTGGCCAGTGTTCCCAGTGTTCCCACCACACTTGCGGGATGGAGTCCCACACAAAGCATGTGGCTGTTCATGCTGTGGCTTACGTGGTCTTTAGTCTTGGAAGAGGGGGTGCTGCTGGAAGAGGCAACAGAGGCCGGGCTGTTTGGGGAATCCTTCTTCAGTCCACAGGCCTTATCCAGCCCATTCTCCGGAGGCAAGTGGGCAGGGCTCACCCGGGGGGTTGCTGGATCCTGGCAACAAAAGCAAGTGCTCACCACAAGCAGCCCTCCAGGGCCCCTTCCCCTAACTGGAGAGGTTGCGAGTGCAGGTCCAGGCCCAGCTAAACTGTTCTGCACAGACAATGCAAGAGAAATTGCAAGGGAAGAAACTAGGTAGGCCTGCTTCTCCACAGCAGTCTCCATGTAGTGCATACCCTGCCCTGGTTCCCTGGCATTGCCCACCCTCTGCAGATGCCGCCACTGCTCTTCTGAGGAATGGGGTGCAGTGCCAGGGGCAAGAGAGGGCCACTCCAGGCCTACCTCATTGGAGACATCAACCACCAGGTCATCACTCTTGTCGCCATCACTATCCTGAAACAGGAAACCGTTGAGGGCTGTAAAACGAAGCCAGGCCCAGAACCAGCTCCCAGGGCAGCTCCTCTAACTGCTCTGGCTGCACCTCCCCCTGCCACAGCCATTCATCTTCCAAATGGGAAATGGGAAGATTCCTTGACTAGAATTTGGAGCCCTCCTTGACAAGAGCAACTGGTGGCTGCTGCCAACTGGCTGATAGTGACCCAAAAAGACAACTGGAGCAGAATACTCACGTAGCGGCTCAAGCCCTCCTTCTCCTCCATCTTCCGCTTCTTGGGCTCAATGCCACCATAGTCTGAGCAGCCCCTGTGCTTCTCGCTAGCACGCAGACCCTCCGATAGGGAGATGGAGGTGTTCTGGGGAAGCAAGAGAAAATGCCAGTGATAAATCAGATCCCAGATCCAGAAATGTTTTCCCATCAGGAATACGGATATCAGTGTCAGGAGGGAGGGGGAGAGAAAGAGAGAGAGAGGGAGAGGGAGGGAGGGAGAGAGAACCCCTCTGAGGCACAAGGGTGCTGCCTCCCCTATCCAATGACAGTCTCTCCCAGGAAGCTTTTAGAAAATTGCCTGTCTATTCTGTGAAGTGCTTGGGGCACTGTGGATCTTAGCAATGGTGTTTATGTGAGCCAAATAATGGGACTAAAATGTAGGTATGCAAGCACGCATGCACACATAAACACACACATAAATCAAACTTTCCTTCAAGCAGAAGTAATTCACTACATTTTGAAAATATCACTGTGGCTCTTGTGTTTTTACCTATAACCTGCAAGAACAAGCACTGAGCTGACACTGCAATGGCAGAATTGGGAAAAATGTTAGGTTATGCATGGAATGGTCAGCCTCCTGCTAAGCTTTAGGCCAAATCAAAATAATTTCTGGGCAGAGTCTCCTGGCCACGGTAAGAAGGGGTGATAACCAATATTTAAATTATGAGGTAGGAATCAGCACAAAGCATCATGAGAACAAATCCCTCAAGACAGTCTGCTGACCAAACACTGGGAAGGAGGCAAAGCGAGGGGCTTCCCAGCCCCCAAGAAAGAGGTCTTTGAATTTTATGCAATGCTGGGAAAAGGCAACCCTTCTTGCTGTGGAAGGTCTCCCTTTACCGCCTGAGAGATTTCTTGCTTGGGAAGAGACTTCATGGACACTAATCTTCAACATGGAGAACAATTAAAGCATTTTTTTTTAAATTTTACAAAAGAAGCATCCTTTCTGGATCCAGGCAGAAAAGACTCCGGGTAACTTCAACTTCCATTCTATGACAGAGGACTGGCACAGGGGAAACCTGGGTTCCACTCCACCCTCAGCCCTAGAAACTTGCTAGGGGATTATGGGCAGGCCAGCCATTCAGTCTCAGTCCAAGCCACTAACAACATATAATGTTCTGCACGCCACCTCGAGCACTTGAATGAAAGACAGTTGATCAATTTAACATAGAAACAACCCAATGGCCACAACGTGCTTCCCCTTGAGCCAGCCAAAATTGTAGGAAATGGAGGGAAAAGGACCCAAGGAAAAAGAGTAGCCAATGGGGTATGTTCTTAATTATGGATCCTGCCCAAAACTTCAACAGCCAGGAAGACTCTCCAAATCAATAGAATGAACAGAGAGCAGAGAAGGGCATGCACTCTCCCCAGGAATGAATCGTTTCAATAACCAAAAATTTGGATTTTACCTAGATGTGTGTGTGTGGGGGGGGGGGGGGGAAGGGGCAGGGCGCCCAGATTAAGAAGACAGAAAACTAATAAAGCAATCGAGGGTCAAAAAATGGAGGTGGCAAAACAAAAGAGACTTACCGCACTAGAGTCACGGTCTTTCCAGAATGCAGCCCAAGTCACAGCAATGGAAAGAAAAGACAAGAAAGGGGGCAGGAGAGAAACAAACATAAAACAGAACATCAGTCTTGCAAAGAGGGCCTTTCTGGTTTGGCTCAATAAAAGTTCCATTTTGGCTTTTGTTCTGAAGAAGCAACCAGGGCCCAGACAAAATAGTGGAGAAGAACACCAAGAGGAAGGCAGGCAGCAATGCAACAGCTTTGCACACACCTGGAAGAAGTGGGAGAAGGCAGTGCAACATTCACACTCCTGGTGGGTAGAGTCCCACTAGTCTGGGAAGAACTCTGGGGAAGAGGGAACTGGTTGACCCTTAGGCCCTCCCTCCCTCCCTCCCCAAGTACTCAAGAGCCTCCAGAGACACTAAAGCAAGAGGCTGGCAGGCCGAAACCTCAAGGAAGAAGCCAGCTTGCATGTCCTCACCTCGAGGGTCCAGGTCGTGCTGATGCTTCTCGTCTTTCACAGCCAAGTGTGCTTGGCTGCTGAGGGCCCCAAGGGCCAAGAGCCCCGAACTGCTCCCTGTGACAGGGGGGATCCCTGGGGGCGGCAGGCCTGACTGGTGAGGCGGCAGCTGTACTTGGGGCCCGTGAGAGGCGTGGGAGAGGTGCTGGGCCTGGAGCTGCTGCTGCTGCGAAAAACCCAGAGTGAGAAACAGCAGGAAGTCCAAATATTGCACAGACCCCTTTGCTTGACCAGAGGGATGGGGGAGGGGAGGGGGGAAGAAAAAGTTCACACCCCTCCCAGAACACCCTCCTGCAAAACCACTGAAGGAAGAGGAATTCAAATGAATTGAGAGCACTTTAGGAGAGTGACCACTTTTAAGTTTAGGATTTAGGATTTCCTGGAGCTTCAGCAAAAGGTCTTAGAAAACATGCAAATCAGTTCCGGTGTGTTCATTCAATTGCAGAGTAGGGGTTTGTTTCAGCATTAGTAAAATAGTCCTTAATTCAACAGAAAATCTGGATTTCTACCCAAGACAGCATTAAAGAGGGGCTGGGAAAAAGACTATTGGGAAGAGCTAGACATTACAGCATGAACAAGAGGCTGGAATCCGAAGGCTGAACGCTATCCCGTATCCCAAAGGTGCTTTTTCAAGAGGCAACTGGACTTCCTGTTTTTTCTTTGAAGACGTTCTGGAAATCTTATTGTGTGGTAGTGATGAACATATTATTGCTAAAGTCTATAAAATGTTATTGAATTTAAATCTGGAAAATGAGCAAGGAAAGTATTGTATATGGGCAAGGAACTCTGGATATAATGTAATGCTTGAACAATGGAAGATTATGTGGAATAAAGGTTTAAAGTTTACATTAAACTATAACTTAAAAGAAAATTTCTATAAGATGATGCATCTTTGGTATTTAACTGCAGATAAGTTGTCAAGAATGCAAACGGTATTTCAAATGAATGTTGGAAATGTAAATGTAAAGAAGGACTTTTTATTATTTATGGTGGATATGTAAAGCAAATAAATTTTTGAGTAGGATTCATATTTTAATACAGAAATTTTTTTAAGTGAATATAAAAAGAAAACCAGAGACATTTCTTTTGGGTTTATTGGAAAAAGACCTGGAAAAAAATTCAGAACCTTGATGTTTTATTTGTTGACGGCACAAGACACTTTATGCACAGAAATGGAAGGTCACCTCGATCCCCACAATGGACGAATGGCTGCAAAAACTGATGGACTTAGCAGAGATAGCTAAATTGACTGTTTTGATTAAAGAAAAAAATACAAATACCTTTATTTCTACTTGGAAACCTCTTCTGGACTTTGTGCTTGAGGTGGAAAAAATGAAACTTTGTTTTTAGGTTTTACCTATTAAATTTAATTATAGAAATGGCTAGTTTATACTATTATTTAAAAGTAAAAAGTTGAGGCTTGATGTTAATGCCTTATTCTACTGCACAAAAAGGGAGTCGGAAATCAATGCCTTTTTCTTTTTTCTCCTTGCTTTCCCCCACTCTTCCCTTCCCTTTTCTCTTCCCTAATTTCCCTACTATTTACTTTTGTATTTTCTTTGTATGCTATATTATAAACTAATAAAATCATTTAAACCATTGAAGATGTTTGCCTTCTCATCCAAGAAGCTTCTTCAGTTCTAGCTGGATGGAGGGGAATGAAAGGATTTATACTCCTTGCAGACAACAGTCTGCCTGGTGCAAATGAGTCTCTTAGTGAGCCATTAAGGCCACCTGAAGGTTTATCTGTTGTCATCAGGGTCACCTGAGTGGTGCAAAAGAGTGTGGCGCCTTCTTAGAACTGTTGGAAGGGCTGTGTTGTAGACTGGCGACAGATGTTGTTGTATCCCTCCCCCTCTGTTAAGACAGGGCTGTTCATTTTGACACAGATGGCCTCTTTGACCCCTCTTTCAAACCAGGGGCCCTCTGTCCAAAATGTGGATTTTGTTGTCTTCAAAAGAGTGGCCTTTGTCTTTTAAATGCAGATGGACTGCTGAATCTAGTTCTGATGCGTTTGTTCTATGTTGTGCCATGTGTTTATGAAGTGATTGTTTTGTTTCCCCAATGTATAGATCTGCACATGGCTCACTGCATTGTACTGCATGTACCACATTGCTCAGTTTGTGTTTGGGTGTTTTATCCTTGGGTGGACAAGCTTCTGCCTTAGTGTATTCTTGAGTATAAATCCTTTCATTCTCCACCATCCAGCCAGAGCTGAAGAAACTTTTGGATGAGAAGCGAAACTTTTTCAAAGAAAAACCAGAAAGTCCAGTTGCCCCTGAAAAAGCACCTTTGGAACAACCATGACCTGGATGACGGAGAATCTCCACAGGTATCCTATATAAGGGGTGGGCAACTATGGCCCTTTTACAACCTGTGGACTTCAACTTCCAGAATTCCTGAGACAGCCCACCCCTGTCCTATATCATAATACAGTTTTACCTCGATTTACAATCACAACTAAGCCCCAAATTTCTGTTGCTAGAATTCAGCTGTTAAGTGAATTTTGCCCCCTTTGTCAAATGCTTCAATGAAGTCCAAATGCACTATGTCCCCAGCATTTCTCTGATCCACTTCTATGGCACGATCCATTTATAACAAACCTATGCTGGCTTATAGTAATAGCCATGTTTGTTTCTAAGTGCTCACAAATCCACCACTCAATTATCTTTCCCAGCTATTGATGTCAAGATGATTGGTTTAGAAGTTCCTGGATCCACTCCCCCTTCCCTCCCCCTTCCTTTTTGTAGACTGGAATCACACACCTCTTTTCTAGTCCTCTGGGATTTCCCCTGGGTTACAGGAACTTTGAAAGATTATGATTCGCTGCAGTCGAAGTTGGGGAGTGAGTAGCAGCTTTGTGCCTGCTCTCCTTTTTACTCTCTATTTTTATCCCTTTTAAATCCTTTTAAAATACTCTTTTAACTTTTAAATCAATTTTAACCTTTATTTCCCCTTTTTACTTTTTATTCTCTATTTTTATTTTTAATTTTTAACTCTCAATTTTAATTTTAATTTTTAACTTTTAGCTATCAATTTTACTATTCGAAAGGTTCACTTTTTATCCCGGCTTTTTACCTCAGCTTTTACTCCAGCTGGTGAAGCATTTAGTGAATGAGAGGAAGTAAGTCTTCCCTACTAAGCAAACCAGCTATCCATGGCAGCCATCCAGTGCTCAGACAACCTAAGATCCTGACTGTGGCTTATTCATATAGCAACTGATTTGCCCCAGGGAAGAACCTTTGCAGCTGTGTTTGACTGGAGTCTGGATGGCCTCTCCCAAGGGGAAGAAAAGAAAGACGGCATATTGCTCACCAATCAGTAAGGAAGGTGGAACCAATCCTCAAAAGCAACAGAAGATTGACAGATTTTGCCAGCCTTTGCACTCAACAGTGGGTTGTGCATCCTCCCCCCTTTCCCTGCCGGTTAGCCGTGATGTTTTGGCATTGTTTGGGATTCCCCCCTGGAGTGGGAATTGCAGGCAGAGGAGAATCAATCAGGAAGTCAGCTGGGAAGCTTGCGAACCCCTCTGCGTAATTTGATGACAAGTGACTCAGCAACTTTGGGTGAATCAGCTCCAGGCTGGGACAAGGGCTTAGAGTCGGAGTTTTACAACCATAGTGAATTAGCTTTAGGACTTGAAAACCAGCTAAATGTTAGTATAAGGGATTTCATTAGCTGACACAGTATGCTCACTTCTCAGACAGTCTTGGCCATTTTTGACCAATTTGCAGAGGTGCATTTAAAGTTGGACTCTGTGATCAATTTTATTGCTGCGGCACAGACGAAAAAGCCGCAGGTATGTTCAACTGGCTGTCAGACAGAATGACCCGTCCAGATGGTGCAACCGAGGGAAAAAACAAGCGGACAATATATTGACTGTAAGCATGGAAAAAAAGCAAGAGATGGTGAGCTGGTTGGACCTGAAATCCCACGGTACAGGAGTGGGGGGGGGGGAACAGGCGATTATTGAAGGAGCAGATTGTATTGAATATATATAATTCTGAGATAAATGTGGGTAGATGGTCTTCAAAAAGACAGATAGTGACCTCTTTGTCACAGCTTACTCGGTGTGACAAGGGGGCACTAGATTTGGCAGCATATGAACATCTTCCACAACGTGATAATTATTTCAGAATTCTTTTTAAGTTCAAACAACAGCTCTTCCCAAGCCTGCTTATGTGAATGAGAGGATTCTTGGCTTATTATCAAATTTTACCTACCCGAGTTTTTTCTAGTGGTGAGGTCATCCCGCTAATTCAGAGAGCCCCTAGGGAGAGTGTGGCAGTGCATGGGACAGCTGTTTGGGAAAGCAGGCTGGCCGAGGTAGGGAGGAGATTTAGCATTACAGAGGAAATGTCGGTTAGGGTTTTGGACCCAGCTGAAGTGAAACTTCCTTCAATTGGCTTGGTACAAGATGAGACATTCGATTCTGCCTGTTTGGAAACTTTTTCCTTACTTTCACAAATGGAGCAGCAAGAAGTACTTAAAAAACTTAAAGAGACGAGGAAGCTGCTGAAGCAGACTATTTCCTCTGCCGCTCCTTTAGCGTCGATAGCTCTACCCCCTTCAAGGCATGATGCAGCTCCGGAGAGTCAGCAGCCTATAAACCCAGGAAGCCTAATGCCCACGTCTATACAGCACAAGGTACCAGAGACAGTAGATTTGATAACACAAAGTGTTGTGGGACAAACATCGGAGATGGAAGGCACCCAGGAAGGAATCCCCCAATCCCCCTTAGTGGCAAAGATGATACCAAGAAACGACACAAACGCGGTGTCTCATGCAAAATCATTTACCGTGGAGGCAGAGATTAATAGAGCCCATGGACCTGCAAGTCCGAAAGTAACAGGCAGTGCAATGATGCCCAAACAGACTTCTATTGAACTCAGGCGATTAAATGGGTGTGTGTGTGTAAATGAGGGAGGAGGGGTAGGAGAGATTATCCAAGAAGCCTGACTAGGAAATAGCGAGCAACCACGTCCTTCAAGTGTGCACTTCCTCTCTTGGAATGTGGTAGGATGGAGAGGAAGTTGGTGCACAGATGACTGTATTAAATTTTTAAATAGGTACCATGTAATTGCCTTGCAGGAGACATGGGTTAGCAGCGATGAGACCCCAATTGAGCTCCCCGGGTTTAATATTTGGCAACTGCCAGCAAAGAGA